CTGAACACTCATCCTGAATGAACTTGTGCAGGTGAATAACTTCAGACCACAGATCTGGGTGAGACCATCAAGGACTCTGAGACCCATGCACACAGCTACAAGTTACCATGCATCAGTAACTTTCAAGAAGTCCACATGAACTATTCTCAGATTGTTTTTCTACTTCCATGACAAACCTGAGACCCAAAGCCCCAGGGAAACTACAAGATAATCAGCAAAATCCCAGGTCTCTGCAGCTGCATGATAGCTGTAAATGGCAGAGAATCTCAAAAAGTGGATCATTCTCTGAGCATGGAGGAAAGCAAAAACAAAGGTCCTTGTCATTCTGGTTAGGGGAAAGTTTTTTCCAACCTCAAGATGAGAGATCTGTTTAACCAGGAACACGTGAGTGAGACACCACTAACAGGACATTGAAAAGCTTCTGGCTGTCACTGATGCACCAAAATACTCTGCCCAGGGGACCTTTTACAGCTCTAGCTAATATCCGATATTTCAGAAGAAAACCACTTTTCTCTGTCTCCCAAAGGCAAACTTAGACATCAAGCAAAAAAATATTTCTTTCCACTGCCTGCGGGCAACAGCAGACCCAGGAAGTATGCAGTGAACTAATTAAATACTGTTACAAACAGAGCATAACAAACTCACCATGATCTGTCTCCTTTCATCCCCTTTCTGGGAAGTCAAACAAATTATCTTATCCTGATATCACATGGTTTAATTTCAAGCTTCTATCTTACCCTTTTCCTATCCTCCAACCTCCCCTTGAACAAACCACGCTCCTAGTTTCCATGATTTAATCGCTTCCACTGAAATAACTCAAATTCCTCACCTCCATCACTATCTCAATCTCCTTACAGAACTTCCCTTGTTGTCAGAATCCTTCTACTAATTTTCAGTTAGAAAGACCTATTCCCAGATCATAGTTTGTTGACTTTGTACTACTTCCTATTAATAAACACCCAAATGTAAGCATCTCCCTCTCAGACCTCATTTTTCCAGGTTGCTCAAACTGTCTTCTTTTAAAATAAATTCCTCATTTCCCTAACTTCATCCTTGCTCAATTTGTTAAACTTTTTTTTTTTTTTTTTTTTTTTTTTTTTAATTACTTGTGAGGAAAACACAGCTTAAAAATTACATATAAACTTTAGGCAACTTGACTTACGTGATTAATTTAACCCTGGATGAGAGGTAAGACACGAGGCCAGAATAAATGAAAGAGTTGATGGGTCCACATAGATTTAAACTTTAGGGTGCTACGGTCTGTGCTGTGAAACTCTAGAAAAGAATGATTTCAGCAAGACTTGTCTGAAGATTTTTTGCTAGGAAACACATTGTAGGGAGACAGAAATATTGATGAATTCTAACAGTAAATTATAGTGACATCCCACAGGGCTATGTTGTTGCGCCAGGTGTCAGCCAGCCTTCAGACACCCTCTCACTTGGCCCCTGTGGATTATGATGTAAGAGCTAAAGCTGCTGACATTTATCACTTTCAGTTACTTTTGCCATCAAGCTACTTCTGCTTTGTTAGTCCCTAAAAAAAGAGGGAATTAGCTACAATTGTTGTAGCTGACTGTGTGCATCTTTACATTTACAGCTCTTGAATATGTCCTACAGTATAAGTTTCCAGTAACGCTCACTGTTTTGAGACAGCCTAGCTGAAAAAAGTGTCTAAGAGCTGATGCTTTGACTCCTTGTTGCGACAGATTGCAAAGATAGCTGCTGCCAGTGAAACAGGTAAATTATTACAATTTAATATTAATTAGATGGGAGGAAAGTTTGACATTACAAATGCAAATTACCCATCTCAACAGAAACATATGGAGAGAGTGTCAGATCTCCTATTAACTCAGAAAACAGAAGTTTGTTTGCCAAAGAAATCTACCACTGAATCCCAAAATTTAGTACACTATAGTGTGCCTATTAATTCTGTGCTGGGCAAGGTAACATGTTCAGGAACACGTGCTCACTATCTAGTGGTTTCAATAGGGACAGAAGAGTTCTCCACAAGCATTTTTCTGCGATGTGTATTGAAATTGTTTTTTCCATTCTATGTACCTATATATTTCCTCAACAAATTTTAACAGAGTTTCTAATAACACCAAGCAAACATTTAAAGAAGGTTTCTCAAATATTTGTTTCACCAAGTTAACTTTCCACTCCCTATCGCACTCAGAGATTAGTGCTGGCAAAAACACTTTTAGAGAAGAGGTAAACAGGTTTGCTGTTTTGGTCAAAGCAACTAAAGAAACCATAAAACAGTGTTAGTGTTTACTAATTCCAGGTTCTCATGCTTGCCTTCAGACCACTAATAGCCACATGTACAAAGATAATGAGGATGGTGCATGATGCTGGGAAAATTTTAAGGAAAAATGCCCAGTCCTCTACTCTTGCTCTTGCATTGCTGAGGACAGTGCAGCTGACTAAAGTACTTTTAAAAGTTTCCAATTCACACTCCGATCTCCCTGTCTTTATAATGAAATTGGTGCGAATCGAAGTAATAAGATATACGTTTGCTGTACAGGAAGCTAGTCTGACCCATCTTTGCTTGAGAAAGTTACAGTTTGTCCTAAAGAAACCTATTCTAGTAGTAACAGCTTTGCACGGTTGTTTCATGCAGTTTTTACCAAATTATTCCTTCTTCCACAGGCTATTATTCTGCTCCACCTGTGCGGAATAGAAAGTGCTGCTCTACCCATTAGTGAAGAAAAGGCCATGGAGAGCGTAACACCTCCCTCTGGATATCTGAAGGCTGACAGCAAAGAAATCCAGTGTTCTATTGTTTCTGAAAATGCCACAAACCCAGAGGGTTATCATTCACTTTGGAAGAAGGAGAACGAATAACTGAAATAAAAGAAACAGGGGAGATTTCCCCAACACAAACTGTGGGGGAATATTCTGTGAATGAAAAATTAGCCAGAATAAGTGTGACTGTCTACTTGCAATGAAGTATCAATAATAGGTAACATTCCCAGAGCATCTTTCACAAATTCATTGCAAATTACTGAGCAGAACTATTACACAGGCAAGAGTTAAACGCCACAGGAAAGTGTATCTGTGATCTGTTATAATTTCTATCTAGGGAGAACTTTTTCAATGCAAAAATCTGCATGTTGCAGGTGGTAGTTGAGGGCTCCTTCCTGTTGTCAAGAATTACATTTCTATTATGAAAGCTCACAGTGATTTTTTTTCATATGAATGCAAATGAAGAAAGAACGATGACATTTGATGATAAGCTAAAAGCTACTACTCCAAATAGCTCAATGGATTTGTCTGAGTAAAAACAAAGTTAAAAAAAAATACTGTCCATACTGGGCCCCACATTTACACCTTCACTTTATCATGTGCTTTCTGTGCATTTTATTGGGAGGGTTCTTTTGGTCTACTGAGTCATCGATCTTACTTTAACTGCTTCTTAGCATTACGGTGGATCTCTGCCCAGCAGCTACTCTAAAACACAACAAATCAACCAGCAGTTTGTTATTTGTGTGCATTAAGACAGGTCAGAGCTGTAGGGAATGATCAATATGGGATGCAATGGAGGAGTTGGCAGTGATAAACATGTGATACAAAGCAGTCTAGCATTGGTGGCAAGGCAGAGAAAGAGAGAAACAGAAAAGAATTCTACCACAGTAGACCAGAGCCATAATCCATGGTGCTAGATAATCTTTTCACTACTCCATCTCATCTGAACACTGATAATTTTCTTAGACAACAGGGACAGAAAGTCTTTTATGATTAATTATGTACTCTGACATAAACAAACCTATTCCTCAGTTGTGTGGCTAATCAAGTTAATTACTGCTTTCCGTTTGTGCCCAGCTGAGAGTGGAAGCAATGATTTCAGCCAAAAGCTGATGCTGAGCCTCTCCCATTCAAGCTACCTGACTGGTGTGGTCTTTAGAAGAATGACAATCTTTTCAAACAACATGAAAGACATTGCAGTTGTCAGTCCATTTCAGTTTATATCTCTGTGATTGACAGTACATGGTCAAATGCAACAAATGTACTCAGAGGTAACATTCAGATTACTCTGAATAAATTGTTTAATAAGTGTGTCTCCACCGGTCTGATGGAAAGACTACTGAAAGCAAAAATTCTCTCCACTCAGGCTATTTGGATCAAGTACTTCTGTCATAAACAGATCCTCAAAAATACCTGTAAAAGCACCTATGTAAAAAACTTGAAAAAATTGAGCACTGTTTCTTATATAGAAAGAAGCCATTTGGGAGATCTGTTACTGTTAATCTATTTTTAAGGAAATTCAGAGGATTTATTTTGTCATTGGGATTCAAATGGAATTTAGATGATCATGTAAAGTTTTGGTTGCAGCATCTTCAGTAGATGCAGCTTTGGATGCCCACCTGTAGCCACATGTGCCTTGTTTGTGAGCCTCACAAGGACACAGGTGGGAAATAGGCTCTAAGGGGCATAGGGAAGGAGTGATGTGACTTTGGCCCCTTTTGGTGGCTAACACTTGGTGCCTCTGTGTTGGCAGAATCACAGGCAATCATATCTGCAGTGATCACAGAGATCCCTATGCCTATCAACAGGCAGCACAGGCAGCTGGCTGTACCTGTTGGCTGTCAGGTACATCCCTGCAGAACAGGGATGGACATGGATTCAGATCGTTTTAGGAGTGTAGCAGAAAGTATCTTCAGATTCTAAAAGAAAACCATTAGAGGAAAAAGACTGCAACAGAGAAAAGCACATAATAACACTGCTTCCTAATGTGTTTCTTTCTCATTCATCCTGAGAGAGAAACCCTGAAGTCCAACCCCTTCAGCTATTTGCGGAGAAAGATCTACTTTCTGAAGTCTGGAGATAAAAGAAATGAGATGCAAGACTTCTTGTGACTGCTGAGGCCTGAGAAATATTTGTTTGCTGTTTGTGTTACATTTTGCAGTGAATATTGCCCTTCTCTCCCCCTCCTATTCCCTACCAGTTCATTGCTATTGCCTGAATCACAATCAAAAAATCCTTGTAGGAGTAAGTCTCACCCTCAGAGAAGAATGTGAGGCTAAATTCCTTTATGTTTCTGAAGAACTTTGAAGTCCCCAAAATTAAAGTTCCAGTGAAGCACAACATTGTCTTCTCCCTGGGGCAAGGTAAAAATTGGGGTCATCTGCAGCTGAGGAAGAATCTTGCAGCTCTGAAACAGAGAAGAAATATCAGCACCGAGGAAAGAATACACATTCAGATTCTGCAAAGTCTTCATTCAGCTCCTATGATTCCCTGGATTTTATTAATCAGAACAAGTCCACATGATGAAGTTCATTCTGAGTCAGCATCCTTCTGTGTTCTGCATTTATACCCCATGATGTCTAAGTTTTATATTTGGCATTGCAATAGTTGTTTGTTGAAAAGGGGAGCCACTTCTTTCCTAGGGCTGCTTGGAAACCAGCTGTGCAGCCTGTGTAAAATCTATTGCAGTTGCACCAGCTCTTTGCTTTTACAACAGGATATTAGATCTCTTTCAAAGATGTGATATGCATCCGCTGCAGCTATTTATCTTCATGTTTTAGCACTTCCAGTTGTGACAGAGAAATGGCCTAAAAAAATTACACTAGAATCATATTCCATTATCTGCATATATTAAATATATATACATTAATTAAATATTAAACTTGGAAATTCCCATATGCCATTAAGTGTTTCTGCAGCTTCTAGAAATGTTCAGGCTGTCTGGTGGAAACATATTAGTCTGTTTCTAACAGTTTCATGTGAGGAGTATGAGCCCTATGCAAATGGTGCTCAGACCAGCTAATTGCTAGTGCTTGACCTGCCAGTCCTCCATCTCTGTGCTGCTGTTCTAGCAGTTCCAGTTAGTTAAAACTTATTTCATGATCTCATATACAGGAAAAAATTAAAAAATAAAAATCTTGCTTATGGGAGTTCTTATGAGGAGTTCTGGAAAACCCCATTCAGTTAAGTCTCTATGATTTAGACTGCAGTTCTCCTTCCTGTATAATTGATGTAATTTTGCTTTACGGCTCTATTGTTAGCTTTATGATTCACTTTTAGAGTCTAGGTTGTAATAGAAAATTTAATGATATACACATTATAAAATGCTTTCAATGAGAGAATAGAACACATTACCTTTCTTAAACCATCTTTTCTTAAACTACAAGATCCCTATTTCTCATTTATACTAAAGCCCTTTTATACTCCTCCAGCTGTGGCAACAAGACATAAATTGTGTATGAATTATATAATTTTTAGTACAAATAAATACAAGTGCTCAAGTTTTCCTTCTTCCCTGGGCTTTGAAGTAGCAAAATTCATGCTGTGATTTGTTCAATTTTATTTTTCTAGAGAGGAATAAAGATAGCCAGGCCCTATTACTTATCTATTTTTTAATCTTCGAAAACTCTTCAGCATACACAGTCATTAAAATACAGTTCAATGTGATATGCCCATCATATCACTCACTGATAAAATGTCAAAGATTTAGTTTGCACAGAAGCAACGAGTACAATATGTTTTCATCTCATTGACTTTAGAACTGTGCTGAAAAATAACAGTATTTTCCTTCTGTTTGGGCAGGTAAACACAAATTTATATTTTTCTACCTTGGTCTTCCAGTCCCATCCCATCCAGAAGTGAACAGATATGTAAAAATGAATCATCATTGTTACAAATCTCAGGCAGAGTTCCTTCTTGTTAGAAAAGTTATGGAAAGGGGATATATATTGATATAAATATTACCTCTCTGTTTCAGTAGCTTTCTATCTGTTGAAGCTTCAGAAGTCCTTGTCCGAGTGCAGGGGTAAATCTATGTGAAATAATGAACTGGATTATTTAACATATGTATTTCTTACTTTCATGAAGGAAGACGGACTGTTTAGAGAGGATGTTTGTCACCTTACTGAAAACCAACAAAGATACATCGACTCTGACAAGCCCTTCCATGCTTTCACCTCATTCATTTTAGACCTAAGATGAAACACCTGACCTGCTGGCAGTGGCTGCCACCACAGAGCCATCTCAGTGGGGTCTAGAAGGAAAATACTCTGCTAATTCAGACTCGATACCAAACATATAGGTTTAAAAGTAGGTTGTATTCCTCCCAAAATTATCAGCTCATCTTTCTAGAAAATCGACTATTTACACATGGTCCATTGTCAAGATATTGCACTGATACTTCTGGAGAAGTCCAAGGGATGAAGAGAAAGATCATCTGCTAAAGATTCATGTGCTGTGTTCAGTGTAGGTGAGGAAAGAAGGGTGAAGCTGCAGGCCACTGCTGTGTCCAAGACTGCAAGAGAAAACAAAGGGGAGAGACTCGGTGTGTCTGGATAGTGACAAACCTAGGTCTCTCACTAAAGGTGTAATCAGACATGAAGAGAGGGTTTCTAAAAAAATTAAGAATAGTTTAACATTTTTATGATTGATAGGAGTACTTTTAATAATAAAAGGACTGCAGTTAAGAAATTTTATAAGTATCTCTGTGTGTCTTAATTTTTCCCTATATTTTGTCTTAAGCAGTTCAACTGAAGACCTCACTGGTACTTTGGAGAAGCACATAAAAGAGACCATGGAGAAGGGCTAGGAGCTCAGGATTAGGTGGGGTGACTGTGAAGATTGATACTCTATGGAAACGTGCCAGAAAGTTGATCCAAGCTTAGGCTTGTGTTCTATAGGCTTGGAGCTAGTAACAGCAACAGCTTTCCTTCTCAACCAAATTGTAAGCACATGGGATCCAGGGAACTGACTCCATTCACAATAATACACTGGGCACAGAGTGGTGCTTGGCCAGACTGTGACACATACCTTGAGATATTTATTGGGGCAGGACTGAAGACTGGTAATAGAAAAAAAATAATTGAGGACTGTAGTTAATTGATGAAATATTTCTGTCTCTACACACTTTTACTGAAAGGAATCTCTCCTACGTCCCCGGTACTAGTGCTGGAATTCACAGAGAAATTCAGTCCCGATGCCTCTGTGTTTACAGATGTCCTTTCTCAGATCACCATACCTAAGAACTTACTTCTTCCCCTTGGGTTGGTACAGTGTAAATGTGATAACTCTCAGATTCCACTGAGGAAGCTATTTCAAGTGCTTTAGAGGTGTGGCTGGTTCATCAGCTATTGCTGATAAATACCATTAAAGGGATTAGTTGTACACCAAATAATTTGTTGCTCTGTATAATACCAGTAAACACATTTTAACAAATTTGTAATAAAGCATTGTTTTACTCATGAAGCACAATAATTTTGGAGTAAAGTACTTGAATAATGCCCACCATTTGGGGTAACTGATCCTTACTTTTGCTACTTTTTTCCTTTCAATATGTACTTAGTGTATAACTAAGTATAACTAATTAGTTATAGTTATCCTATAATAACTATACATATATATAATATATATATACTATGTAATATATATACTATGCATACTATTTATACAGTATAATAACTATATTATATATACTGTATAATAGTGTATAACTAACTCTCTTCACATGACTCAAAGAAAAAATAAAGTGGAAAACTATTGTATCTGTCTGCGTAAGCAGATTAGAGTTTTCATTTAACTTTTTTAATGAAAAAAGCATTAAGTATTTATCTGTCCACTGTTTCCATTCTTAAGTACTGTCCAGGTAACTGATGTTCTTTATCTGTACTTTTCAGCAAAATTGTGCTTGAAGTCCAATAGGATTAATTATTTTCAATAGTTTCAGAAAGAAAAACCCTTACTGATAATATAAAATACAATCATGTATTCCTGAATGCAAATGCAGTTTCTTAGAGAAATTTGTTCACAATCAGGTTTTATGTTCTGTTGGTGTAGTTAATATTTTAAAAGTGTTTCATATCAAGAATTGCATACATCAGTAATGAGTATATCACCACATTATTTTCTAGTATGTAAATTTCCAGTGAGGTACTTGAGCATCTATACAAAACATGGTAAAATAAAAGACAAAGAATTTGATGGGAAATGTAATGACTTCTGGCTTGTAGGTGACATTATGAAATAATAGACAATTAATTTTAGCAAACATATTAAAATTTTAGTGCAAAGATCTTGGAATGACCCAAATAACAAAACTCACATATTTATATTTCCAATAAGTGCTTCCCCTTTTAGTTAGTTTCCTCAGTAATATATTTACTGCCATTCTATTTTTAGGCCAATGGAAGGTCATTTGCATTTCTGTAATTCTAGAAAACCATTTAAATATGCAAATTAAATCTAGAATTGTGTGAAAAAGAGGTTCATGTCTCTTTCATATTCAAACAATAACATCTAAACATTAATCATCTCTCTGTGCTTTTATTACCAAACCCAATTACATGATACTGAATTAAATAGTCCTGAAAAGAAATTTAGATAGCTTTCAATGAACATACTCTGTAAAGGTAATATGTTAGCATTATTTAAAATCATAGTATGCTAGTCGTTGTCACAGTGTTATATCCAATTTACCAAAAGTTTCCCTGCTCATACAATAGAAAAATTGTATGGGAGAAATGCCATAAGAGCTGGCACAACTGTCTTTTTTAAAAGCTGTTATTGAAAACGCATGATCTGTAATAAGGCATGTGTTGTTTGGTTTGTTTTTTTTTTTTTTTTTTACACTAACAGGTCAGGAAGTGGGTGGACAGCTCTACTGTGACATTTTCAATTTATAAGAAAAAATTATATAAACAGTTTATAATGTCTGGCCATTTAGTTTGGGAGCTGGTAAAAAGTGCATCTTGTCTAAATTTCTTAAAAATTGCGGATAGAAAACAGACTCATGTTGTTTATACCATTCTCTGAGGGCCTGATTCCAAGGCCAGTGAAGATAATAGGAGACTTTTTGCTAATTTTCATAGAGAATGGATAAGCAGATCCACAGAATGTCTCAGGCTATCAGTTCTCATCTTACTTCCAAATAAACTCCCTTAATGTGAAACTAATCTCCTCAAGGACCTTGTTTAGCTGTGCAGTGTTGAAGTTAGACCATTAACAAAAATATTAAGTGTAAATGAATCTCATATGAAATGTTATTACTTTCATGTAACAGTAAACAAAATTCTATGATGCTTCTAAAAACAGAATTAAGCAGAGTATGAACCTGTAATTGAAACCTATAGTGCAAGAAATAGATATATTTAGGTAAGGAGAAAACTTACCCCAAACTCATCTCATCAGGTGTCTTAGAATCAGCTTCTCTGTCCACATCCAATAAGTCAGAGTTATTTAACCCATCCTGGATCAAGACCTGGATACCCTGTATCCTCTATGAACAACAACAAAAGAAAAATAAATACCCCTCTGTGTGCTGGAATTTATAAGCCCATATGAAATGTACATCTCATGGCTCGTTTCAAGATCCATATGAAGTTTTCTTGGTAGCTAGAATATTTATAAGGTCTTTTCTCTCCCTCATGATAAGTCTCTGGGGCCTAATATTGATGTAGGACTTCTCTCAGGTAAAGCACTTAACAAGGATCTGCACTCATCCTTGTGGCCTATTTTCATAAAAGTCACAAGAACTTAATTTTCTTTGTTTTTTCTATGTCCCTGTTAACTTTATTGAGGTTGGCTAAGTAGTTCAAATGTTACTTGGGGATAGCAGACAGGCATTCACGTATACAGAGACTGAGAAATTCATAATCTAATTTCTTAGGAAAAACAAACAAAAAAAAAACCCTAAATTTGATCCCCAAAGAACTTAAAATCTAATAAAGAAAAGCAATTTTATCACAAGTAAAGTCTTCCTAGTGTTAAAGTTATGAGTGTTTTCATTTTTTAGGCTATTTTTGCATCAAACTTTGTCATCAGCTTCCACCACACTAATGGCTTGAATTGTATAACATCATTCTTTGCTTCTCGGTTTATCTTTAACATTAAGAAATTTCAAGTAAAACTTTTGCACTCCTGGTCTGTGTACACACCTGTGTGGGTCAGTCTGATTGTTTAATAACTTTTCAACTCACCAATTTCACAGTTTTCACCAAATTTCAATAGGTGACAGGTATCTCAAAGGCAGTACCTAATTCAGGTTCAAATATACCAGCTACTACCTGGACATCTCCATTCCAATGTGTGGCATCAGCTCTGGAAGAGTAATTTTTTTACTGCTTCATCAGTAACCTGTGCTTTTCATGAGTCAGCTGGAATAGATCCCACTGGAGGACAAGGATTTCCCCTATTTTTAAAACTTTTCAGAACTCCTCACAGTCTTTGAGTCTGTGCATCCCCTGGTAACCCCCCATGGCTTGTAAATCCCAGACTACTCACCATCCAGAGGAAAGCAGGTAAGCAGCAAAATATCCATCTCAGTGATATTAGTCCATCATGTTTAACTGCTCTGAAGACGTGAGTTAAGAGAAGACATAAAATAGAAGTATGATAGTGGAGGAAAAACCCAAATAGCTACTTTTTAACTGTACATGTAGTTTAACCTCTTTGTTTCAAGCCTGGGAGTGGTGGCTCTTGGTTTCTGAGTCCGTGGTTTATTTTTTCTCATTGCTGTGTCCTATATCCTCAGCTCACATGGGCTCTTCTAAACCTGACAAATTGCCAGATCACATCAGATTAAACTTTTCATTGATTTCACACTCCAGCAAGGAAGCATTTAGTGACCTTTATCAATCAGTCTTCCCTGGCTGAAAAACAGTTTTATTTATAGGATTTGTTATTATGTAGCCATTACAACTACCCAGAGGAAAGGCACTTAGTGAAATGCCTTGCTTAGTGGGCACATATTTTCTGTATTATTTAGGTAGTAAGGGAGAGGAAAAATGCCCACACAGACCAATGAGGAACCAAATTCTGCCACTGCAAAGAAACCAGATTTAATCCCATTTTGTGTTCCTAACATAGACTCCTAAATCCCATGGCACAGATACAAAATTCAGCTCTATAGCAACATTTGCCATGATGAAAACCAGCTGTAGACCCCAAAGGTTATTTCAGGGGAAACCAGTCTGACACATTATTATATCCACATAGTTTTGGTCAACCTGTGTACTTTCAATGGTTGTGAAGAGTAGCATATTGCCTTCCACACCTCTACCTTAAGAAAGTGACTTTGGCAACAGGATCAGGCAAAAACTGCCCTTGATAGATTTGTCGCCATACCTAGACACAGGTGGCAAGGAAGACAGCAGCTGCTGTGACAACTTCAGATGTTCACAGAGGTGTGTCCTCAGGCTCCTCAGGAAATAGCAGAAAAAGTCATACCAATGCGACTCTGACCTGGAGTCCTGAAACCACAGAACTGGAAAGGTGGAAGTGTGATGTCTGTGGTGGTGGAGCATTCTAGGAGAATGAGGTAACAGTTTACCTGAGCTTAGTCTTTCTAAGTTAATAAGAAGCTGAATGGTAACATGTACATTGGCACAATGTACATTGGCACAAATTTCTAATAACCAGTCACAGCATCTGACCGCATTCAAAAATCTAGTCAGTGGAGAGTTATCAACACTTATCCTGCAGTAAACAACTAAAATGGGTTAGATGTGCCCTAAGAATGCTAATTTCTTCCATTGACTACAAAGTGGTCCCTGTGTGACTAGCTTAGACAGACCTGCATTACAAACACTTGCAATCAGGCAAAATGAATATGACATTACATGTCTCGCTGCAAGCATCTATAGCAATCACAAATGATACTTTCGGTACTTACAAAGACCCCTAAAGCTCCTTGGGTGATGTCTGAGGTGCACATCAAAAGAAGGAACTAAGTTACAAATGGAGAGAGGTCTTGCACTAATACTCCATATTAATACTCTATGATTTTCATCTGTCAGGACAATTATCTCTTTGCTGAAACAATCTATCAGCTGAAATGCTACATTGTCACATAAAACTCAGAGGACATAACAAAGTAAAGCAAACATTGTTAACATTAGGCTGTGTTAGAAAATATTCTAATTTTCATGTCCGGAAACAAAAAAACCCCTCCTAACCCAAGGTATGTATGATTTGTTTTTCAAAGAATCTTACTTCCAAAGAACTTTATGATAGCTAGAGATAGATTTCATATGGCAGGTTTTCTTCTATAACAATATGGTGAGAGTCTTTTTGAAGGGTCTGAAAGTCAAAATTTGCCTTTGCCTTATGTAATGCTATTGTTTTGCTTGCTGTGTTTTCTGACACGGAGGATGTCTCCAACACTACATTTGCAACAAATCAACCTCATGTGGTTGCTTGGCTGTCATCTTATGTAAGGGGTTCTGTCCACATGTGCTGGAAATTTGAGACACTTGGAGTGCAGGGGACTGTGGAATTGGCACTCTTCTACAAGTTTCCTGATTTATGCAGAAAGAAAGACCAAACCTTCACCTTTAAATATTGTTGTTAAATAAACTACGATAGATAGATGTAGTATTCACCTTTAAGAAGAACCATGGGAAAAGAGAAGTGTGTAAATACTTTGGAAAGCATCATAAAAGATAAAATAATGATTACAGTTATGGAAATAATGCCTTTTGGGATAATTCAAGCAATTCAATCCATTATTTAATTGAAGAGATGACTAAGAGATGACCTGAGCATTGTGCATAAGTACCTCAGAGTGAAGAGATTTCTGATGCTACACAACTCTGGTATTCAGAAATAGCAAGGGGAAATCCCAAGGCTGGAAGACAAAGTGAGATGAAATGAAGCAAGAAATCAGGCAAAGAGTTTTTTGTTTGTGTTTGGTTGGTTGGATTTTGTAATTAACTTTTGGAAATGTTTATTCAGGAAGGGGCTGAGCTCTCTATCATTCTGGTTTTCTTTAAATCAGGATTTGATATCTTCCTATAAGAAACACCAAACTGTAATACAACTTAATAGATGTTTTGTATAGAGAAGTTCTTCAGTCTGTATTATACAAAAAGACAGACTAAAATGTATTAGTGAGAATGGGGACAGAAAACAAACAAACAAACAAACAAACAAAAAAACCCCCACTCATAATACCCAAAACTTAATCACTTTTAACTTGTTTGTGAATGAGATTATACAACCTAATTAACTGCAACATTGGATCCCACTCTGGACTGTTCTAGGAGGGACACATACTAGTGAGTGATGAGGTTATTTCCAGTTCTGTGTTCCTAGGAATATATCATCTCGTCAGGTTTCAGAAGTTAAAAATCCATGGAACTGGAAACATTGTTTTCTTTCGGTTCAAGTCAAAGACAGTTGATAGCAAACATCTGCAGACAAGTTTAGGTATTGTTGAAAAGCAAATGGAAATTTCCATCCATCCTTATCCCTGATCACATCCTGCCTCCCAAAGTCCAGCTAAATCTTTCAAAAAAGCTGTTTTTACTTTCACTTCCTCTCTCTGGAGGTGGGAAACCCAAACCCTTATCAGGATTGCTGCAAGTGTTTTTTAATGCTGGAGGATTTCACATCATCTATTTTGATGCAGTTACTTTAGATCTGTGAATGACTTGCTGTTAATTCGATTCTCCATTGATTCTCCCACTAACAGAAAAGGCAATCTATCTCACAGTGCACCATTCCACTCTCCCCAGGCTCCATTCTGGCATCATTTCAAATGGCCAGAAAGCAAGAGATGAAACAACTGTAACACAGTAACCAAAAATGATATAAAGTACCAATTCATGCCCAACATCCCAAAGCAAACGTCCTATTTTTTAAATCTGTGATTGTATAATTCTATAAAAATGTATATTTGCCTTTTGTGCAACAGAAACTGGGAGATATTTTGAAAAGAAATAGTATATAGTAACAGATGCAAGGCAGTCACCTCCAAAATTATAATATTGCACATGGCCACCGTCTAACAGCACTGTCAAGGATATTACCTATTGTTTTTGCAGTATTGGAAATATGCACCTGGGTTCTGAGAGTGCATTTGAAGCCTTTCATCAATATAGTGATGGCTACAAAATAAACTTGCCAAAATACAAAATAAGGGAGAAATCCTTGTTCAGTTTTAAACTCATTACAGGTAAAATGGCCACACATTGAATACTGCTCAATCTTAAGATTTTTTTTTATTTTTTCATGAGGGATCTGACCACAGGGTCCTGGAGCAGAGCTGTGGTGCAGTGTTGGAGCACTCTGGACCCACGTTACAGTGCCCACTTCTGCCATGATCTTTTGGAGCAATGGAGTCATCTAATTCATCAGGTCTCCCTATCAGTTAGTGGGGAGAACACTGTCTTTCTAAGAGAAGCATTATGAAATCAAATTAATTGAGGTGTATGGAATATGTGTATATCCATATATGTTGAGTAGTCATTGTGCAGAAATTCTTAATTTAAGCAGCGATGAGAGTGAGCTCTTTAAATGGCTTGAAATAAACATTTGATCCTCTTTCTCTCTGCTGTGAAAACCAACACAGTAACCTTTGCTTTGTGACTGTCAAGATTAAGATCACAATAATATATAAAATATATGAAACACTGAAGAGTATTTGTCTGGTAACTCAGATGGAGACAATGTATCTAGACCAGTATTAACCAAAGTTCTCCAGGGGAACAAACTACACTATCCCCAAGTAATTGCTTTCTGAGACAAAATGAAGATTCAAGAACATTCAATTTCAGGATTCTAATTCTTCTGGCACTCATTTTTATTTAGCTGACATTGGCTGGTAATAACCTGTTAAGCTTTCCTCAATTTGAATGCTGAAGTTTAAAACAAATAGAATGGATATCACTGTTTGTATCCCAGACCAGGATGACTCAAATGTAAATGGTTTTATACCAATATGTCCATGGAGTTTGAAGCTGACAGCAGGAGAAAGAATCGTAGAGGAAAGTAGGAAATCAAGCAATTGAGAGGGGATCATCTACTTTCTGAACCATTAACCTCACTGATGCTTGTTTTGCTTTCTGGAACTGTTTCTGGGCCAGTTTGTTTGGTTTTGATCAGCAAATCATTAAAAAAAAAAAATCAGAAAAACAGTTAAGCACTGAACAATTCTTCCTTGAAATTGAAGGATTTTTTCAGTGTTTTCCAGTTTCAGATCTGATTTAAAAATTATTCCATTAAAAATATGCACAGACCTTTACCCCCGCAAGCCTCCTCTCCCCAGTACTTCTCTCATCGTGGTGCTAAATTCTTTATTCTGATCTGAGCACCTGACTCTACCTGACATTTAAGTGAGATGCACACCCACATCTGAAGGCGGGCTTTGACTCTTTGAATCTAGATTTGCCTTTGTTTTATTTACAGAGAACAGAGTGAAAAGAAGACAAAATAATTCAAAGGAATGATTTATGGACTACTCTCACCTATTTTCTGCTAACAAAACTAACAAGTTGTTCTTTGACAAAAGTAAAACTTACATAAAATTAAGTTTACTTACATAAAATAGTCCACACATACCTGTTTTTTGGGGATGAGTTTCTATTTTTATTTTTTGGAAACCATCTTAATTTCATTCTTTTAGTCAATTCAACTAACTT